ACTTTATTCATACCAAAGGGGGAATTAAATGTTGTAAATTGTATTATCCAAATATTGTTAAAGTGTCACTGTGGTTAGTGAAGTTCTCAAAATTCAACACTTAAAGAAAGAGGGGGGGGGGGGGAAAACCCATATATTTAGCTTCTTGTTGCATATTATAAACACGAGTTCTGAACATTTTTGTTTTGTTCTGCCTACTTAGTTTTTTTGTTTTTTTGTTTTAAATAAGCTCCAACCTGTCAGAGCTATTGTATCCAGGAACAAAATGAGACTATAAGCATTCATCATGTTGTAATCATTCTGCTACACCAGGAAGCACTTGAAAGATGAGATACAGACAGATAAAATGTTTTAGATATGAGTATGACATTTTTGAATTCACACTGAAAAGTATGAAACTGTATCCACTCATCACTGCAGTGTACGAAGTGAACAAAGCAGCCTTTATGTTTGTGTTAAGAATGCAGGTAGTCCAACCACACCTTTGTAATGTGAACTGTGTGGGAATTTATAATGCAGGGATGAAGACAACAGGTAACCTTTACTCTTAGGTGCAATTTAAAGAATCACAAGAGAAAAACACACAATTTAAAACTCTAACAGTTTTAAATGGAAGGCGTTCTCTCTGGGATCGAAAACTTCAATGTAGAACAGATTACAGTTCCACCAGGTCACTGTGCCGTCTGAAAGTCTTGAATGTGATGGGAATGACTGTAAAAATCAGCTCCAAATTGAACAATAAGGACGCAAAGACATTTGAAATATATTCACTTTTGTTTTGAATCAGCTGAAATATTTTGGCTCTCCTGCCCTTCCTCACTAATGGAACTGATGAGTGTAGAGAAAACAATCAGTAAACAAAAAAAATTAAAAATAGAAAATCAAGTTAAAATAGCTTTATGTTGGTTCAAATAAATGCCACAAATGCACACAATAAAGAGATGATGTTGATCCTTCGTCCGGAAATAAAATTGAAAACCTATCGATACATTTCCACAATCTCAAAATGACAAGCCAGGAGAGGAACAGACAACTTGTGGTAACAGGAAGAGTTGCTGAGATCGACAGCTGTGTTAGTTGTTCATTTAAAGAGAATCTGGCCTTTACGGAAGTGTGCCAAACCAAACGAAATCCTGCTGGGATTTAGAGGAACCAGCAGTTACTGTGGAAGGAAGTGCTCCGATCAGATGAGACCAAAATAAACCAACACTCCACATCATCCTGAGGACACAGTGCCGCAGTGAGTCAGTGGTGGCAGCATCATGATGTGGTAGCCAGAGCTAAATATAATATGGTTTTAGAGAAGGGCTGGAAAATATTCTCCTGCTGCAGCAGGAATAGGAGAATTACTCTAAACATTAATATAAATACACTAAAATAGTTTAGAGTTTGACCCAGTCAAAGTCCAGACCTAAATCCAGTGAGAAACTTGCAGAACTTGAAAATCGATGTTCAGATGTTCACCCGAAAAGACCTGGAATTATTTTTGTAGCAAAACATTGTAAAATTTTCCTTCCAGTTCCAAACAACATTCCGACGGCTTAAACAAACAAACATTAGGAAGTAAGGTGAATAAATTAGTGACGTTACAAAAGGTACTTCTTTTTTTTCCATTACTGCCAGTGGAAAACTTCTCGTATAGTTTCCCATTGGTCTTGGTCACGCCACCTTCTAGTTCTGCTCTCACATCCTACGCTGCTGGTTAAAATTTCCTCTAGGAAGTGGCGACCGAAAGAAGCCCTTGAGGGCGCCGAAACATCGGATGAGGAAATGGGCTTTTCACGTTTAGTGGGAAGCAAAGTTTAAAACGGGGTTACAAGAGACAATTCTGTCCCCTGTTTGCAGATCGCCTTGATGCTGCTGGAAAATGGAGCGGACCCCAATGCCACGGACAAGTTGGCCTCCACTCCCCTGCACAGAGCGTCGGCCAAGGGCAACTACCGTCTCATTCAGCTGCTTCTCAAGCAGAGTGCCTCAACGAACATCCAGGACTCGCAGGGCAACACGGCGCTGTACGTGTGCAAACACATTTGTCCAAAATTGTCACAGCCGGCGTGAATTTAAATGTGTAGAACGAAAGCATGAAACATGTTGCCAGACCAATAGGTCATCAGTTGAAGTTTTTACCTGACTTTTATGAAAACATAAAGGCACCCATTTATTTTTTCCTCTTACAGCCATCTTGCGTGTGATGAAGAGCGTTTGGAAGCAGCCAAGTTGCTGGTAGAACACGGTGCCAGCATTTATATCGAGAACAAGGAGGAGAAGACCCCCCTCCAGTTGGCCAAGGGCGGCTTGGGGAACATACTCCGCCGGATCGTGGAGGGGTGATGCTTTCACTGACCCGCTGGTTGTGGTTTGGTTCAAACCGCTACCGTCGGATCCCGATGAAAACCATCATCTCACTCAGTCCTTCTTGAGCAGGCCCGTTGTTATTTGGTGTGGTCGGTGACATGTGAAAGAGGCATTGGTGTTGAAAAGGGGTTGGACTGTTTTTGAGGCTGATCAGTACCTCCTGTTGGGGTTTTGAGACTGACGTGTCTATGCACAGTTTTTGCAGCAGCGCAGAGTGTTTTCTGTGAAAGTTAAAGTGTAGAAATGGCAAAAACTAAATGTCAAGTGGTGATGAAATCTGGTTGGAATAAATTTGTTGTACCTAAATAAAAAAAAAAAAAAAGGGGCCTTTTGGATTTTTTTTTTTCCCTCAGTGTTTATTACTTTATTTCGTAGTGGAGTCGCACATGGGTCTGTGCTCGGTGCCTTTTTTTTTTTTTTAAACGTCTTCAAGGGTTTTTTCTAAAGGATATCGTTTTAAGTTTGTTATTCAGCAAAGTACTAAATTTAACTCCAGGTGACTTGCAGCACAGCTTCTAAAGTCAAGGATGACCTTAAACACATCAGTGAGTTAGAATGTACAACAAACATCTATTCAATTTGATCCATTTTGGTCCAGATTCATACTCGATTAATCCAATCTCTGACCACCCAGCAGTGGGTGGAAACTATCAAAATGTATTGTCTTTTTGTCTTTAGATCTCTTATCAAACACAGCCGGAGCTTAAAAATAAAACTTACTTTACAATTTGAAAAGTAAATGCAGGTTTCATTCATCACCATTATTCAGGTACCCTGTGGTTTTGCCAAGTTTCGGTTTCAGAACCGCATATTTTCTGTCAGTGTCCCCTGTGGTTCCCTTTCCTTGAGAGAAATGCCAGCATGAATGGTACTTTTCTTAGATGAACAGAGCAAAGAATAATGGCCGGCAATGCTGTGCCTCTCCCTCTTATTGCTGTGCACTGTTGACCAGCTGGCTAAAAGATGACTGACACATTTTCTGTTTTTTATTTCTTTATTTTTGCTTAGAAAAACATACAAAATTCAGCAGAAACTTCAACTGGCAAGCTATGACTAACTTACCAGCCTATGTCAGCTTGTTGGACTCTGTGAGGGACAGAATGTCAAAAAGTGTCATATTTTTTGCCGTGGCCCCTATGCTCCCACCAGTGTGCAGGTGTGGGAGCGTAATGGGTAATTTTTTTCTACATTTTTGCATAAATCTGCTTTAGAAACAAAATAACAAAGATGTTCCAAGTAAAATTATACAGTAATGACTGTATTAACCAATGTATCGTTTTAACATCAGAATAAAAAAATGTCCATTTCTTTATTTTGTACTTTTAATACAACCTGATACCTAAATATTTTTAATCAAGGCCATACCTAAAACGCAGTTTCGGTAGACAATGGCCGTATTGTGATTTGAACAGCAGGAGTCTCGATACCTGTCTCACTAGTAATAACTATGAATGTTTTTCAAACATAATCAGTTATCGCAATAAGTGGAAGAGCCTTATAACCACGTAGTGCATAGTTGAGTCAGGCCACGCCAAACAGGTGTTAGTGGGAAACAGCCATGAAAGACTTTTAGACGGTGACAAAATTGGTGTTACCTCATCGATTTCAACCTCATGGCCACCCACAAATCTGTTTCTACAGTCATTTGCATGAAAGCGTGGTGATGAATGAAAGATTTTAAGTATCCTGTGAATGTTCCCTGTTACTGAAACTATTTGTTCTGAGATGGCTCATGAAGTCATCTCAGTGAAATTTATACAGCAGGTGTTGGTTTCACACAGATGTCGAGAATCGTCCCCCCACACGCACGGACAAATCTACAACTACTGTTTGAATTTGAAAGGAGAGGAAAGAGTACAGCTTTTTTTTTTATAAAGTATATAACTGGACTAAATCTGTGTTAGTTGCATTTATGGTCAAATTTAAATAAACTCAGATTCTGTTAGAGGGCTGAAGTATAAAATGGTATCTTTCCTTTGTTGTCATGCTTAAATATTTCACGTCATGAAACAAGTTTTATTTTCAGACCTAAACAATGCAAAAAGCCGTTTTCAAATAATTTTATTCAGAAACAGAAAAAAAAACTGTGAATGTTTTGTCTTAATAAATATTTCACAGACTCCCTTTACAACCCTCTGCAAAAATGCAACCCTGCATTGTATTTTTTTTTTTTTTTACCATATCAGTATTGGTCCAATGAATAATCACTATTTTAAATATGTCACTTTATAGTGAATCTACATAATGCGTTTTACTGTTTGAATTTCTTAAATATTTATTATTATTATTATTATTATTATTATTATTATTATTATTATTTTCAATTATACGTCAAACATTTTTCCCATCTTTTCAGTGGGGTCACATCTTGTAAATGCGGTCGCTTAAAATAATGAAAGCATAAAAATTCCATTCAAATGTTTCTCGTGACGTCATCACGTTGCTGCGCTCTGGAAAGGGAGGAACTGCTTGTCTTGTTCCTCACGACACGAACAGAGGGGTTATAAAATAAACGGCCTCCAGCAGTCATTGTACTTCGCTGTGGGTGGTGATATCATTAAGACTGATTGAAGTAAGAAACTACGGACCCGTCCCAAAGACGTGAAAAAGGTAGATATTGAGATTTTCTTACCAATGCGGAACTGCGTATTTGCATAAAGTAGCATCGTGCTAATCTAACTAGCAAACATAGCTGCTGGTTGCCACTCCGGTTTAAAGGACACTGTTAGAAACAGGAGCCAAAGTTAAAGTCCAAACTGAGAACTTCAACTGAACGCATTGTTGTGAATACTTTTAAGAGGATACTCTGCTTTGTTTCACATGATTCAGAGTTTGTGTAATATCTCCCGTGGAACTGGATTAAGGTGACGGTAATCAAGTTTGCTTTCGTCTCCGACTTTAAAATTAAAACAGTTTTAAAGCTAATGTATGTCCATTCAAAATTGTGGGCGTGCGTTTACTGGCACATGGTGGTAAAGTACCTTTTAAAAGTTTCCACTTTCAGTTTTAATAAAGCGTAGGAGGGAAGGGAGAGGGGGGGAAAACTGTGAGAATTTAATTGTGTTGCCGACCGAGCTTCCTGATCTGATCACAGCTTTCTTGGGAGGAATTTCGACACGTATGCAGTGCAAAGATCACAATCAATAAAGTAAACGCCGCCTTTTACAGCAGCTTCACACCATCCTCAAACTGATCGATGTTTGTGTATAATTAATAGGTTTAACCTTCACATCATGATTTAAAGACATGTCCACACCGGTATGACAACAAGGTAGTTGCAATTAAAGCCACCCTGATTACGCCATTACATTGTTGCCATGAATTCCTAACATGTTTTCCAACTTCCTGTGTGTCAAGAACACAGTGTACCATTCTGCCCATAAAATATGTTGTGTGCTCATCATGGTAACTAATGTTCTTGGAAAGGAAAAGTGTTTTAGATTTCCCTCAGTGCTCAGTGTCGCCCTTTGAGAAAAGTTATTATTACTGTCTTGTAATGGAGTACTGAGTTACTCCCTTTGGAATGCCCATCCCGCACATGGTCTATTCAGCGTCTGCATGTGATAAACGCTCGGCTGCCTCTCATAAAGGGCCCATTTCAAAGCGTACATATTACCTAACACTTTCTGTCTTTCCTCCTCAGATATCCTGCCCCTCTGAAACTTTTACCCGCCCAGCAATTTCCTCGCCCAATTATGTCTGAGCAAGGCGAATACAGCAATTTGGAGTCAGATGGCTGTCCTGACTTCTCAAAGTTCGACAATCGCTTCCAGTCCTTCCGGGGATCCACCCTGGCTCGACAAGTCCCACCTGAACGGCTGGCGAGGGCGGGCTTTTACTTCACCGGCGACGCAGACCGCGTCCAGTGTTTCAGCTGCAATCAGACTGTGGAGAACTGGCATAGTGGAGACACACCTGTGCAAAGGCACAAGGAGGTAAATGTATTTATTGATTACAGTAAGAACAACTTGTTTTGTTTTGGGGGTTTTTTTGTCTCATTTTTCATGTTGTAATCGTATGTGTCTTGCCTGTGCAGGTTTCTCCATCATGTCGGTTCCTCGTGTGCTCCCACCCAAACAGCATGAAGCCGAATTACATTACCCCCCTCATCTACGACGAAGTTGCAGAAGACATGCAGTACCGAGTGTCCACTGGTGAAGTGGTCGACGAGACCCTCTACCCCAGGATACCTCACATGAAGAGTGAACAGGTCCGCCTGGACACCTTTTCATCTTGGCCCTCCACTGCGCCCGTAAGACCCAGAGACCTGGCTCAAGCCGGCTTCTACTACTTGGGACAGGCCGACCGGGTGGAGTGCTTCTGCTGCGGCAACAAGCTGAACAACTGGGAAAACGGAGACCGCCCTTGGGAAGAACACTCCACACACTTTCCCAACTGCTTTTTCATCCTCGGCCACGACGTAGGGAACGTCCCTCTGCTGGACAACTCAGATGAGCCGATGTTGGAAGATCAAAACGTGAACCAGGGGAGAAATATGGAGACTTTCGAGGGGAGGCTCAGTAGCTTCGCTCATGTTCGGCACCCCGTCGACCACGAGAGGCTCGCGAGAGCCGGTTTCTACAGCACAGGTAGATCACATATATGAAATAGGAGCAGAGAAAGTGTTTTAATGCTATTATGGCTTTAACATAGAACTGTCGGCATTGTCTTTTTTTTTTCTTTTTTTTTTAGGGCAGGAAGACCAGGTGTTATGCTTCTGCTGTGGTGGAGGTTTAAAAGGCTGGGGCCCTGATGAAGACCCCTGGGAAGAACATGCTAAAGAATACCCAGGGTAAATGCTAAATGCTTTTTTTTTTTCTGGTTGTATACCTACACTCCATCCACACTGATATTATTGTTGCTGTCTTCCTATTGATGCTTAAATGTTTTTTCTCTCTCTCTCTCTCTCTCTCTCTCTCTTGATTAGATGCAGCTTCCTGTTGGAAGAAAAGGGAGCTGCTTTTGTCAACGGCATTCAGCTCAAAGGAATTGAACAAAGAAGTGCTGTGAGTATTATTTTTTTTTCCATTTTATGTTTGATTATCTGATACAACATAAACGCTCGCTTGATATTTTATTATTTTCCATGTTTGGATAAATTTATGAGGAAAAAGACACTCATTGATGACAAATGTCTGAGCTTCCAGACCTTACGTTCTGTGACGGTGTCAAAAAAAACTATGTTTGAATTTCTAAGGAATAAAGCTTTTCCTGTTAAAACATCTATAAATTATGTTCAGTTTCGATTTGTTGCATCACAACTTAGGTTTTTAAGTTACTGTCAGAATTCATAAATTAGTCATTAACTAAATTTTATTGTCTAGGTTTTCTTAGTTCAGGATTTTAAATTGGACCTTTGGTTCTTAATACAAAGCAGATTTCTACTTTTTTTTTATTTTTGCAAAAAAAAAAAAAAATTAAAAACAAAAACAAAGGTATAACAATTGTGCTTTAGAGATTAGGATAACTCAAGCCTAGATTTTTCATTAAAGGTGCTCAAATTTGATGCAAACATCATGAAATTTTGTAAAGTAATCCTACCACATTGTCCAATGGATGCTAACAAGCATTGTGCTAGTTTAGGATTTGTGAAATATGTAGATAATAAAAGTCAAGTAGGTAAATGTTTTGTTCCTAGATGTCCCAAATGTTATAAGACCTTGAAATTTGAGTTGGGCAAACAATGAAATTTTGGATTGGAAAATATTTACAATACTGTAATATTAGTTTTAAATGTAACTTTTGTTGCTGGAGTTGGGTTTTAGTAAATCTTCTACATTTCTTATGCATATCTAATGCCATTGAGTTACTTGGAGCGCGTTGTCATTCATAACTTTCAGCTATTGTATAACATTCCTGAACAATATGCTGCGTGTTAAACTACCATAACATTGATGCCTTCTAGCGTGTTCTTTTTGAAACAAAATTAATTACTGATCCTTGCATCTCTTTGTGTATGTGAATGTTTATTATTATTATTATTATTATCAGCAGCAGCACTATTGTTGTTTCTTTGCATCAATTCAGTCATGTGCTGAAAATGACTCCCTGTTTTGTCTCCTAGGCTTCAAGTCATCAGAATGGATTTTCAGCCAGTGAAAAAGGTAATTATTTGGATAGTGTAATTTAATTAGAAAGCCCGAAAATGAATCGAAAACATAAAAACTAGATTGGTGCTATCCATTGAAATGAATTGGGTTCTTCAATAATGACTGTCGGTAGAAAATATTCTAAAATTACCATACTTTTTTTTAAATTTACTTTTTATTTATTTTTTGGAACCCTGTTATTACAGTTCTGTGCATTTCTCTTTTTGTACAACAGACAACGTAACGATTTGTAGTGGAATTACATGCAAGTAGTTGGGCATCGTATAATTTCTTTAACCCGTTTCTTTTAGACGAGGACCCAATGGAGAAACTAATGAAGCTGCAGAGGGAAAAGCAGTGCAAAATCTGCATGGACAGAGATATTTGCATCGTCTTCATCCCGTGCGGTCATCTGGTCAGTTGCAAGCAGTGCTCGGAGTCACTCGTCAAGTGTCCGATCTGCTGCGGAGCCATCGCACAAAAAATCAAAGCCTACATCGGTTAAGGGAAAATACAAGCTGCTGTCTATCATGGATGCTGCTTTATGTTCTAAATGTTATAATTTAAAGCAGGTGTGGTAGGTATGTTGTTCTAGGAGGGAATTTGTAGATTTCACTAAGAGCAGCAACATATACACAAAAAAGGTGGTCATTACCTTTTTTTTTTTTTTAAACTGACAATTTGACTACCTGTAGATGGCTTTGTGTTTTCCTCTTTTCCCACTCATAAAGAAACTATGCTTCAGCACCTCGTTGGCCTAAAAAACGTGTGTGGGTGTGTGTGTGGGTGTGGGTGTGTGTGTGCGTGTGCATATGAGGGGTTGTGAAACAAATTAATGTACTAGTTTCATAATACATGTATATTAAATGCCCTGTAATATACTTACTGTTGTAAATGCCTTGTAATTATACATATATATTTTAAGAAACCAATACTTTCACAATCACTTGTATAGTAAATAGCTGTGTATTGTATGTATAGCATGTTGTTGTGTCTTTGTTTTAATCTGTGTAACATACATGTAAACTCACATTTTGGGCAAACCTTCCCTTTCTCTAGTTTTGTGTGATGACTCTAATTTTGCTTTATCCTAAATTAAGCGGCTGAGGGGTTTCATTCCTCTCGCATTGCATAAGCTAATGCAGACCCTGAGATGTTGGAAGATGTCAATTTTTCATCATGCAATATTTTGTGTAAATTAAACTAAATAAATCTTTAATAATTTGACTTGAGGTGCATTTGTTTTTTTATAGCTTCAATTTCAACTTCTTTACTGGGATTGCAGTTTCAAACAACTCCAAGCCAACTTTCACTTATTAGGCAGGATATTTGATTACTATTCCAAATGGGATATATTGATGTGTTGATTTGAACATGCATGAGATTAGAAATTAGATGCTTCGATATAATATGGGCATGGGCAGCAAATTCATTAAAGATGCTTATTGGCATAAACTGATCTTTTACTCTGACTGGAGTGCAGACAAAAGGTCAGCAAAATTAATTGATAGTAAATTGATTGCAATCAGTGTTGTAAGCTAATATACATTGAATGAAGAGCTGACGAGTTGTGATATTTTTGTATATTCCCAATATCGTGGTGTACCATTTAAAATTCTGGTTTGTTACTCCTCGTCTTAAAGGGGGTGATACAGGTGATCTAGTAAATACCCAGTCTTACTGATTTAAAATAGCTGTAATCAGTTTTAAAAGCCTGTCTATATGTCCATTCTGTTCAATTGTGCACTTTAAATTTCCTTATCTGTGCATAAGGACAAGCCCCGCGTTAAAAATACGGATGCAGTACCTATGGGAGGCCACTAGATGTCAGGCCATCGGCTTTGTTGCTAAAGAGGTCGATGTGGCCGCTAGGTGGTAGCTCTGCACCAGGATTTCCTCCTCCTAGGTCGTCGAAACAACAAACCGAACTACGGAGCGAGCGGGGTGAGAGAACGTCCGAAACTGCCTCTGACCGCGACTTTTAAACTCTTTTTTTAACAGATTTGTAGCGGGGTTGGGCGAGAGACTGGTTAAGAATAATAAAAGTTACGATTGTGCCCCGACTACATTTTACAACAAGGTAAGTTAGCTGTAAAATGGCGGAGAGCTATGTGGAACTTAGTTGATTTGTATTTTGCTAGCCAGGCTAGCTGTGGAGGAGCCCAGAGCGCGGATGTCTGCCTGAACCGAGTCGCTGCGCTAGCTCGCGGTACAGAGCTAATTTGGTCGCTAGCTGGCTAGCGGAGTTAATTTTCGGCACAACTGCTGAAATTACACAATTTGTAACATAAAAAAGCGCTCTATTGTTTTTATGTGCACATTTACCCGCAATTTATTTGTAAACAAAGTGTTTGGTGCTTATGCAATACGGTACTGGAACTCCCGAGGCAAGATGGAGGACGCAAGGACGTGATGTTTTTTTTAGGTAAGGCTAGCGCTAGCTGTTAACATGGCTAACTAGCGGTACTTGTTATCCGCTTGTTAAATGCAGTTTAACTATTAATATGTGCTTACTTTGGGACACATTTTGTCTGTAAGTGCTAAGTGGAAAAAACGGACTTTATTCTCACGTACACATGGTTGATTAGCGTCATTGTGTATTAGCTAATTTTTTTTTTTAGCTTAGGCTAGTACAGTAGAGCTTACGTTGTTTTGTTGTTATGATGTGGTCTTACAGACGTAGCGAACGAGGTTTTAGGTGGAAAATCTGTCTGAAATACTTCGTAAATGTTCGCCGCCTTGCTTGTTCGACAACAAGCAGCTAGTTTTTGCCGAGTCGTGCATGCTTAGTTCATCAGATCTCAACTAGCTGACGTCGAGGAAAAGACGCCGAGATCCTCGGTTCCTTAGCTGGTGGCGCTAGCACCAGCGGCGCACCGGTGTCAATTTTGACAGGAGCCGACGAGGAGCGCAGCTGCGTCGGCGTGGTTGGAGGGAATTGAGAGGGGGATTTTTTGAAATCGCTGTTAGCCTCCATTCACATGGACCTGGTTCAAGGCTTCGCCTCTCTCGACATGATACTCTGTTGCTTCTCTGTTACAACTTTATAAGCGGCGCAGCCCGATTTGGCGCCACTTTTTCAGTCTACACCCATAAAACCGTGTCGACTTGTCAGGTACGATCCCATCATGAGCGGGGAAACGCACATAATAGTAACACCTGAAGAAATACTGTTTTAAGATAAGTTGCTACCAAACGCATGTTTTCAATAGTTTGCCCTGCGCTTTTCTTTCCTTTGGATGTTTACTCGTATTTTCTAAGGAACATATCTTGTCATAAGCGCCGCTTTGCGCATGCAGAACATCGAGATCTTCTAATTGAATTAATTCCAATCGTTTCATTAAATTGTTCAGATTCTGTTTACGTAATTTCTAAACCTAATGTAAGTTACACTGGACCTTCTCCCAGAGCGGCAAATTGCACGGGTGGAGTTTGTTTGCGTTTCCCAGGACAGAACATTTTGTCTCCCGTGGCGTTTTAATTCCAGCCCCTCATTGCAAAGGAAGCGTTTACATTTCTTTGCATTGTTGGGGGGGAAAAAAAAATCAAAACACCCAAAAAGTTCTGCCTACTTTTCAAGGTGATATGTATGGATGTCTACTTCACAACCGTGCAGCGCTTTCTCTGTGGCCTGTTGATGTTGAGCCTGCCCTTTGATTGGTTTACATATGTATGGGGCGGAATGGACAGCACCATATTTGGTCTTTGAGGATGAAACTCTCTGCTTGCCTGCGTGACGTTGTCCGTAAACCAAAGGAACCGAGGAAAGAGCAGCCAATAGGAGGACAGCAAGCATGACAGTAGAGTTTGTGTCCGCCCCCTGTTACCATGTGAAACTTTTTTTTCTCTCTCCTCTAACAATTGGATTCTCTCTACAGAGACCGATTAATGTTATCACATTATAGTTTTCTATTTGACGCTATTTATTTAAGTGTTTCTTAATATTGCTTATCTAGCTTTTTTCTTTTTACTATTTTCTAGGTCACATGCAACCTCCCCCGTCTCATTTTTTGAGAATAATCTTAAGTCAGTTGTAAAGTTGACGTTAACCAGAAGATGTTACAGAAATGATAGCAGCACCAGAGATACCACCAGAGTTCGCCTACCCTCAGTAAGTAACTGCTTTTTGTTTGTCATATATACACACACAATTTGACTTGCGCTGATGTATGATGTTCACTAAATAAACATACACTACAGTTCCACTGTATAATAGCAACCATGCAGCCAAATGCAGTTTTAAAGCTACATTCGGTTATTGTCAGTGATGAATCACAACTGATTTGGTTTTTAGAGCTAATGCACAGTATGCAACTTTAGAAACAATTTGATTGGGAGTTTTTAGTGGGTTTTGAAACTAACTTTTTAAAACCTTGGTATGTCTTTGTAGTGGTGACTAGTCCAAACCTACAGGCCATGTTGAAGTTGATATAAATGTTTAATCTGTTACTTTTTCTGCCTCTGCCAGGGACACAGATACCAGATTCTCCTCAGACACAGACTTCTCTGAGGATCCTGATGGAAGAAGTGGAACTACAGCTAAAGGAAAGGTACGGAAAGCTCAAATGAATACATTTTTCAGTAGATATTAGCAAAAGTGTAGAGTTGTATTCGTAAACTTACCTCATTTTTGTGCTCTGCTTTCTGCAGGGTGGGAAGAAAGGGAAGAAGGCGGCAGGGGAGAAAGGCAAAGGTGGAAAGGGAGCGGGCCGCATAAATGGCCACCATCAGGAGAATGGCATGGAAAACATGATGCTGTTCGAGGTGGTGAAAGTGGGCAGGAGTGCAATGCAGGTAAAAAAAAAAAAAATCTTATATGATAGTAGAACAAAGATAGTTACTATTTTCTGGCTTTATTTTAATGTATTTAAATATATCTATTCCTCTTCATCCCCAGTCTGTTGTGGATGAGTGGATTGAGTCCTACAAACATGACAGAGATGTTGCACTGCTAGATCTCATCAATTTCTTCATCCAGTGCTCAGGATGTAAAGGTATGTTGGTTCAAAGTCATTAAATGCCAAATGAACGTTTCCTAAATTATTCCTCCCTTTGGCAGCGAAGTCAGATGTGCTCTAACTAGTCTTTATCTGCCAGGCGTGGTGTCTGGAGAAATGTTTCGCAATATGCAGAACTCTGAGATCATTCGACGAATGACAGAGGAATTTGATGAGGTAAAGCATCTCAGATATCATTACTATAGTTCCCCCCCCCCCCCAAGACTAGCAGAAAACAGATTTTCCGTTGTAGTTTTTAAGTACGTTTGTTTTCCTGATCTCCCTTGTAGGACAGCGGCGACTATCCTCTCACCATAGCCGGGCCCCAGTGGAAGAAGTTCAAAACAAGCTTTTGTGAATTCATTTCCGTGCTAGTGCGTCAGTGTCAATACAGTATCATCTATGATGAGTACATGATGGACACGGTCATCTCCCTCCTCACTGGACTATCAGATTCCCAAGTCCGAGCCTTCAGACACACCTCAACGCTGGCAGGTAAGTTAAAAAAAAAAATGCTTTCATTTCTGTTTTTTATTGCAAGTATGCTTGATTTTTGCTACAGTGAAATTAGTTTCTTCTAAAAACCAAAGTGATGAAACAGAAGCAGAGATGCACCAGTCAGGCTTTTTTCTGGTTGATGTTTAAAATAGTCTGGTCTCATGATTTTTGTTTCCTTTGTTTTAAAGACTGTTAATGCATGGGGAAAAACAATGAGCTGCAGGTTCTTTGATGTGAAACACAGTTTGAAGTCCAGTTTCTGACTAAAAATAAAGCAAAATTTAGATCATCTCCATTAACGCATTAATTCGTATGTCCCCAAGCTGATTTCTGTTTTGTTATACCTTAAAAGTGCATCACAGTACTTGCTGTTGGTTGATGTTTGTTTAACATGTTTGTATTATTTTTTTTTATTACTCGAAATGCCAACAAAGAGAAAATAAACAGTTTGACATTTCTGGTCATACTGAGAGAAATCTATTTGTGCACATAAAATTAAAACGTAGATTAAATGTATTGCTCGGTTTATGTTGACCTGATTATTGAAATGATTGAAACTGCAATACTTATACAGCCATTGGAAAAAAGAAAAGAAAACCAAAGCAACAAGTTCCCTACATTAAGCTTTTTTATTTTCTTTTGTAGGAACTGATTTATTTACATTTTGCACCAAAGTATAATAATCTTTACAATTTTGATTTCTTTTATTGAGTATAATATGAAAAACATAAAATTAACATTCAGAATATTTTCTTCTGCCACTTTTGGTCAACTCTTATTTGCATAAAGAATAGGGAAGACGTCTCACCTGGTGTGTGAAAGCAGATGTTGTAAACCAGGGATTTACTAATATTTAAAGCCGGGGCGTCTTAACATCCGTCACACAGACCGACGTGACTCTGCTGCAGCTGATTAAAATAACTTGACTCTTCTCATCATACCGTCAGGTTCTGTTGGAGCCTGCTAATGACCCATTCATTCAATTCAGACTTGCAGAACCAAAGAAATGTTTAAAGCATGCAGAACATTTTGGTGACCAACTGTTGGCACTACTGGTTTAACACAAAATAATGATGGACTTCACATTCTGAACTTGCTTTAGCATCTTTTCTTTTAGCTGTTCGCACAGTTTAGCAACAAAAGCAGTGGTTTCTATATTTAAATGTATAGATTTCCCAAAAGTCTACATACGACTGAACCTCACAAACAACATGGAAACACTGTTATAATACACTCAGCCTTAATGCTATCTGCTGACGTCCTCGCTCTCGTAGTCTGAGTAAACTACAGAATTGACTTGGACTAATTACAACTTCCTTTTTTTTCCTTACATCTCTGTTATGTCTAACTTAATTTTTAAACGCCTAACTGACATTGAAAATGGCAAACTTTTTAAATCACTTCTTTAAACTTCCACACTGAAAAGTGTTGTCAGCACAACCTGGTGGAGCTTAGTGTACTGATTGGAAATAAAAGACGCCGTTCTTGAATGTCTGACCGACCCGAGCCAATCAAACTGAAAATTGGCCTGAGTCCAGTCACCAGTTTTTTCTATGTCCATCTGTAAGTTGTAAGTCCTTTCATATACACGAGGTGTTTCATGGTTCACAGTTGGCCTTGTACAGAAAGAGTTTTGGTGTTTCTGCATCGCTTTGCATCAACTTTTGTCTCTTGTCATTTTTGTCGTTCCTGACAGCCATGAAGCTGATGACAGCCCTGGTGAATGTAGCTCTAAACCTGAGCATTAACATGGACAACACCCAGCGCCAGTATGAAGCAGAGAGGAATAAAATGGTTGCTAAAAGAGCAAACGACAGGCTGGAGCTTCTCCTTCAAAAGCGTAAAGAGGTGAGCACTGCGCAAATATAAGACCGTAATTTAATTAATAATAGTAGTAGTAGTAGTTGTTGGTGAAGAGGAACCAGCAGAATAGTAAAACAACAGAATAGTAAACAGTTTGTTTTAATGTTACACTTTGTTTCGTTTTGCATGTATTTTGTGCTTGGGTTTCCTCCATTTTAAGCATGGGAGACTTAACTTGCCCTGTCACGCTAAACGTCACTTGTTTATCGATTTCTTTGTAATACACCACTAATAGTGGTGGTAAAGATTGGTTAAGCTAGGTTTATAGCTGACACACTGACCTAGGTGTGGATTGCAGCTGGTCACCTTTCACTCAAAAGGTTGATTTGGAAGATGTTCGTCCAGAGCAGGTGTGCTAGTATGAAAGTTGTCTTTTCAGGAAATACTGCATCAACGTAAATGTAAACCATAAAAGCCTCTTCCCTTTCTCTGCTCCTGTACACTCATCCTGAACCTCAAAGTGTGTCCTCACAGCTAGGTTTATAATTGAGATATTGAACTGGGCGCTCGGGCGCCAACGTATGTGTCAAGTATAAAAACCTCACCTCTGGATTTGCTCGCGCACGCTCAACGAGAACTTTCAAAAGCGTATCCATAAACCGGCTGAGTTATAGTCGCTTTTTAGAGTTTTGCTTTGAGAACGTGAGACTGAAGTGAGCGCATATATCTTTGTGACCAAAGAATAATGAGTCATGTTCTGGCTCTGTGGCCTCTTTTGCTATTTGGTAAAGTTACAGGTGTTTTTTCATCTATAGTATTTCTCTCAAATACTGCATTCACTTGCATAAATAACCAATCATCACTAGAAAAGCAAAACATTACTAAACAGATCATTAGGATTTGGGAAAACACAAGACTTAATACAATAAATATTTATTGTATTGTCAATGCTACTTCATTACCTCGTCAAATTTCCTGTTAGCTATTAATAATTTTGCCACACAAACTCGGCGGATCGCTGGTGGACTTCCTTAGCTCCCCTACCACCAGGTTCAGCAAGTTTTCTGGGTGATTCCCTGTGTGATTGATTGAGTCACCCACCAGTGGGTCGGGGCATGAAATGCTAAACGATGCCGCATGCTAGCTGAGCTAATGCTACAAGCTAACGCTACAACACTGATGTTTAACAACTTTAGAAGGTTTGTAATACTGCGGTATCTGCCATAGTGAAGCAGTAAATCACTTGGAGGATACAAGCTAATGCTGTATGTGGACATATTAGCTTCACTGCTTGAAATGGTGGAAATTAACGTGACGACTAAATACTGAAGCAACATAACAAACCAGCCAGCCAATTACAGACAGGTCTTTTTCATCCAAAGTATTTCTTTCAAATACTGCATTCACTTGGATAAATAACAAATCATAGCTAGAAAAGCAAAACATTACCAAACATTACCGCTCCATTTAGTTGTAATGGCATGCTAATGTGGCTCCTACCCTGCTGATCACGAAAGAAAATATTCAGCAACATTTCCAGAAAGACAAAAACGTGACATGTGATATATCAGCACCAACTTCCATATCGACCGATACTAGTGATTTTTTTAAATATATCATCTGATTAGAGAAAAAAAAATACTTTTTTTGGGTGGGGGTGGCGGTCGGCGGTCATGTAGTAGTTGTTTGATCATGTGACGTTGAAATGTAGTGCAGTGCTGCTATTGAAGGAGTGAATTTCCCTCGCTGTTAAGATGAAACTATATATACTCTTATAAGATGAATTCACTGTTATATTTCGCAGTTGACATCATTCATGTTGAGTAGTTGTTGCAGCCCTAATGTGGAGCTGTAATCTGAGAGTAAGTGTGTGGGTGAATAATAAAGTGCGGTCGTGTACTACTCTTCTCCTAGCAATGTGTTAATACTAATGCAACATTCACTGGTTTCCCCACTTACTGTGGAAACTATAGATCAGCTCGTGAATCATGAGTTGAGTTTCACCAGTTAAAGTTTTATCACATTTCTTCTGACATTTGGTGATGGACGTTTGCTAAAGACGTCTAAAAAGCAAAAATCCTTAGTGAGGTTCTCCCACCATCAACTCAGTCCCACTGCTAAAACGAAGATGTGTGGTTTTCCACAGCCAGATAGCCAGGCTGGAGGATCGTTTATGTTTTTGGCCATGAACTAGGCAGATTAGGAACAAAACTAATTCAGGAGTTCAACGTTTTGATTGGTCGTCCATCTCCATCAGCAGCTCTTTAGTTGGTGCTGAAGTGCCTGTTTACCTCTGCAATCGGTTTAGAGGCGTGAGCAAAAAAAAAATTTTACTGTTCTGATCAACCAGGAAGTGGAGAGTGATCCTATTTATAAAAGCCTGTTGCTGACTGGATGAAGGTTTTTTTTGTTCCAGATCAAAACTGTAACTCAGTCGGTGGTAGATCTGCTCTGCAGGGTTACTTAGCGTGCGATTCCGGTTTATGCAACAGCATCCATACAACCAGGCATCCATCTGTTAGCTCAGTTTGTAGCAGTGTGACATTGCGAACCGTCACACTTGGTTTGTTTCAATCCCTCTAGTTACTGTCGTCTAGGATTCCCATTTGACTTGCTGTTATTTACATAAAAATAAAACAAATTCTGTTTTATTTCAGCTCCAAGAAAATCAGGACGAAATCGAGAACATGATGAATGCAATTTTCAAAGGCGTGTTCGTTCATCGATATCGGTACGTCTCTGAATAAAACTTTTTGTCACAGAGAAGAGAAACTCAAAATCTAGACTGCCTCTTTTCTGAACGGACTCTCGTGCCCACAGAGACTCGATAGCAGAAATCAGGGCCATCTGCATAGAGGAGATCGGTGTGTGGATGAAACTGTACAGCGATGCCTTCCTCAACGACAGCTATCTGAAGTACGTGGGATGGACGATGCATGATAAGGTACGGTGCTCTTCAGACTCATCTTTGCTGCTGCTGTTGGTAAACTTGTAGACTGAAGGTTTAAATACGCATTTCACGTGTGTATTTAAAAAAAAAAAAAAAAAGTGTTTGAATATCCCGCGCTGTTTCTGACTTGGTTCCAGCAAGGGGAGGTACGTCTGAAGTGTCTGACAGCTCTGCAGGGCCTCTACCACAACAGAGAGCTCAATGCAAGACTGGAGCTCTTCACCAGCCGCTTTAAGGTCAGCACCACCTGCTGGACGACTTTAAAACTGCAGCTATGATTTTAGTATAGTCACACAATGTGCTTATTACTTTGTTTTTATTGTGATGAATGACTTGTTAAACCAGATTCTTCTCTTTATTATTTTTTTGGTTTTTTAGGATCGGATCGTCTCCATGACCCTTGATAAGGAATATGATGTTGCAGTACAAGCGATTAAACTGCTCACACTAGTCTTAAAGTAAGTCTGTTTTAACACGTAGTGATGAGCAGGTGTGAAATAAATCATATTTTCTGTTATTTAAAACAGAAAAACAACAGTTATTCCTGCAGCTGTTTAAATGTTACCATTATTATTGCACTTTGATTTATTTTTTTATTTTGGTGTAAAGATTGAAGCAAGAAAAGAGAGTGAATACCGACAAAGATTATTAGTCTTTTCCAAATTATTATTGCTGAGAATATTTTTGTTTTCTTGCTCATTATTAATAATCACAGCAATCGGGCTTTGTTTTGATGCTTTTAATGAAGAGGGGAAAAATCCGATTTTTCAGTGTTTAACCTGTCTGAGTAAAACAAGGAGAGTTTTGACTGATTCTGACATCTGACCAATTAATTGGTGCAGCTCTTGGCGATCCACTCAGATAGTGAGCTACTTTATAGCCTTAAAATGTCTTAAATTCAATCAAACAAATTCACACAGGTCCTAAATTTTGTCATGACAGGACTATACCACATTCTGCTTGTTTTTATTCATTTTGAAATTATGGATTGTTTGAGATGTTGCGTTCTGTGGCTCGAGTCGGCTTCCCTTGCTAGCCAGCCAGCTTGTTAACATTTTTGCGTCTATCGTGGGCAAGTGCAAATTTATTTGTCAGTTGGCTGGACGAAATTTGCACATTTCCATGGTGACGCAGAACTTCGCCACAGAACATTCTGCGTCTGTGGTGCAAAATTTCATTAACAGTCTTAAAAAGTCTTGTGTTTAAGTAGAAACCATTGCACACATGGACAAAAACTCCTGTCATGCTGGCATGTTAGTAAAAGGACTTAAAGTTGTGGGAAAAGGTTGTGGAAAACCTGCCGCTTCGGATAGCTGTGAGCCGTTTGGTAAAGCTGCCCGTGTTCGTCTCTGCAGTAGTACAGATGAGGTCTTGACGCCCGAGGACTGCGAGAGCGTCTACCACCTGGTCTACTCGGCGCACAGGCCGGTTGCAGTCGCAGCTGGAGAATTCCTCTACAAGAAGTACGTCAGGACTTATTGAGCCGTGGCTTGGTTTTCTGTGTTTATCCAAAAACAGAGCAATGTTTCTCGCCGTTGCTAACGAAGCATTTTCCTCACAGATTGTTCAGTCAGCGAGAACCAGAGGAGGAGGGCGCCCCGAAAAGAAGAGGCCGGCAAAGCCCCAACGCTAACCTCATTAAGACCACTGTCTTTTTCTTCCTGGAGAGCGAGGTAGGCGTCTCGCTTCCTGTTCTCCGGCCGCAGCATGTTTGTCCGCTTCGTGCAGGCCTGACTCTCTCCATCCTTTCAGCTCCATGAGCACGCGGCTTACCTGGTGGACTCCCTCTGGGAATGTGGTGCAGAGCTACTGAAAGACTGGGAGTGTATGATCAGCTTACTGCTGGACGACCCCATGCCAGGAGAGGAAGGTACGCCTCCTTTTGCTTCACAACTTCCCGTACTAAAAGCATTTATAAAGCAAAAATGTCGTCTAAATGAGGCTGACTGTGTGTGTGTGTGTGCGCAGCTCTTACAGATAGACAAGAAACAGCTTTGATTGAAATCATGCTGTGCACTGTGCGTCAGGCTGCTGAATGCCATCCACCTGTTGGAAGAGGAACAGGCAAGAGGGTAGGAGGGATGCTTTCTGTCATATCCTGAGAAGAACAGATTATGATTCCTGTATTTTCTAGACATGAATACACATGTGGGAAAATAATAGCGTGTGGACTATTTTTTTTTTTTCTGGACTTTCTTTTCTTTTTTTCGTAAGCTCTAAAACTTCCTTCATTTTTTTGGACTAGTCTTCCTTTTTTACCTCCTTTTTTCTCCCTTTTTCTCCCTTGATCTTTCTTTTTACTTCCTCATTTCCCTTTTTCCTCTTTCTTTCCTTCCTTCTCTTTTTACTTCACTTTTTGTTTCCATTATTCCTTTGGCTTCCTACCTTCCTCTTTCCTTTTTTTAAAACTTCCTTCTCTTTTTTCATTTTTACCTTTTATTTGTTTTGCCTTCCTTCCACTTCCCCTTGCTTTCTTTCCTTCCTTCCCCTTTTCTTCATTTTTGCCCTCTTTCCTTCCCTTTTTGCTTTCCTTCAGTTTTTATTTTCCCTTGCTTTCCTTCCTTCCTTCCCCTTTTCTTCATTTTGCTTTCTTTCCTTCTCTCTATTTTCTGTCTTCTTTTCTTTTTCGTTCATATTTTTGTAAAGGTCCAGGAATGCTGCTAATCTGAGTCTAGGAAAGTGGCATATGGACATAGAGTGGATCTTTGTACACTTAAAACACTTCACGCTTGCCGCCATCTTTAGTTGCTTTGACTCTCCATCCAGGAGTGTTTACGGCTGTATAAAAGCAAACCAGTGTCGTGAACAGTCTTCTAACTGGTTTCCAATTCCTGATCAGGTAATGACGGCGAAAGAGAAGAAAACCCAGCTGGACGATCGGACACGAATAACGGAGCTGTTCGCCGTGGCTTTGCCGCCTCTACTGGCCAAGGTAACGCCGCATGCATCCAACTTTTGTTTCTGTCAAGAACAATTCCGACAAACATTGTTGCAAAAAAATATCCTGGAATGTATCTCTCCCCCCCTCGCAGTACGCTGTTGACGCAGAGAAGGTGACTAACTTGTTACAGCTGCCTCAGTACTTTGACCTGGAGATTTACACCACAGGACGTCTGGAGAAGGTAAGACGGGTTACAGAGCAGAATTATTTAGACTTTCTGGCTCATGACTTTAACAAAATGATGTCGCAACATCAGCGTCATCAGTTGTACAAGTTTAATGTGTTCATTTATGCACAAACGATGAGATGATTAATCAGTGAGAACCAGGATGCTCATTTTTTTAATGTTATGTATAAAAAATATGTGGAAAACACTAAATGATTTAAAAAATGTCAACAATATCCAACTCTCTATTTTTTTAAATTTAAGTGTGTTTGTAACTGTGTAATGTCTAATGTGGCAGCCAGTGTTTACAAAAACGACCCCATTTTATTCATCCCCGTTGTGGTTTTATTAGTAATCTTTATCATGAGCTTCAAAACAAAAACTCGAGACACAATATTTTATTAATGTTTTACATCGCTCCACTTTACTGCATATTAAAATTCAACAGCAGCAAGTGTGTGGGAATCTCTCTCAGCTCTTCCTGCTGAATCGTTTCTCATCAGATTTTCCTCGTAAAGGTCACATTTAACCGCATTAGCCTGGAAGCGGTGAAAACGGACCAACCTGTTTATCGAAGCATTTGTATCTTTTTATTACTCCAAGAAAAACGCCCTGGCGGCTCCGCTTTACATGTATCGATCCCTTCCTTTTTAATAAAAACCCGGCCTCCTTCGGGGCGGGTTTGTTTTCCAGGATAAACGATCAGGCCGATGGGTTTGGGACACTGAAAACACGCAGGCCTTGTGTTATCTCACCGATCCAATAATCCTGCTTTGTACCACCGGGCCCGAGGCGAATTGTTCCAGCTTCCCTCTTGTTATTGTTACTAATAGATTCTTCCTCCAGAAAATGTGGTTAGCGTCAGCGATTGATCTGTTTACCGCTCTCCGCAGCACCTGGAGGCCCTGCTGCGTCAGATCAAGGAAATAGTGGAGAAGCACACAGACACTGAAGTTTTGGAGTCGTGCTCCAAGACGTACCACGCCCTCTGCAACGAGGAGTTCACAATCTTCAACAGGGTAGACATCGCTCGCTCGCAGCTCCTGGACGAGCTGGTGGACAAGTTCAGCCGGCTACTGGAGGACTTTCTACAAGAGGTGGGAGCCGCGTCCACCCGGAGGCGGTTTTGATCAGAATCCAGAGCTTTGGAGTCAAACTTTCATTTTCACTTTGCACCACATCCAGATCATGAATGTTCTCAAACACATGGATTAAAAACCCTTTAACAAACTGCTTTTCACATTTATCAGTTCCTCTAGAATTTTGAAATATAAATATTTACAGGATTTTTGTGCTTATACATGTTGGTAAATGTGACTCTTTGTTACTCGCTGTATCAGTGGCGGGTGATAAGTTGACATCAAGTAAAACAGAGCGGCATTGTAGAAGTAATACTGCCACCTGCAGGTTGGAGTTGGTAGTCACTTTAACCCAATGCTTTTGATCATTTTTGCAGAAAATTTGCAGTAATCTCACAATGATGCTTTTGTGCGAGGAAGTGCGGAAATGTGTTCATTCTGCGCAAATTTCTGCAATTGTGGATTGACGTAATTCAGCAGAATATAGTTAAAAATGGCTTTGATTTGATTAAGAAACTAATATTTTGGCAAACAATTATCTGATTTTGCATCCCTCTTGAGGTAGAAGCTGTGGTAGCCCAGATTTGGTCCCCAGGCCTCGAGTTTGACACACGGTTTATAGGGTTGTTTAATATTATTTATTTTCTCTCCCTCTGCATAGTTGATTTCTAACAATAAATCTCTCTCCAGGGTGAAGATGCGGATGAAGATGATGCTTATCAGGTTTTGTCAACTCTAAAGAGGATCACCGCGTTTCACAAGTACGAACCCATCATGGCATCGCCGTACCGACGCGCCTTTCCTCCCTCTTAGAGCATCGTTAACATGCGGTGGTGTTTTTATTTGTCGCAGTGCACACGACCTGTCAGGGTGGGACCTCTTCACAAGCAACTTCAAGCTGCTCAACACGGGTATAGAGAATGGAGACATGCCTGAGCAGGTAATGAAACGTCCACAGTCAAAAGTATTCACACTCCACTACGTTTTTCTGTTTTATCGAGCTGTAATGCGTTTTTATGTGATGGTCCAACACAAAGCAGCGCAAAATTGTGAAATGGGTTTTCAGAAGTAAAGCTACTAAGTTGCAGCTAACCCAGGCAAGAAGGCAGATAAAACCAAAACACTTGAGGGCTGAAATATGACTCAAATCTCATGACAAAACATTTATCAATATATTGATAATGGCATAATAATGCAAGTTTTCCCCCTTGAAGTCTAACAAATTTTGACTTTGTAAAAACTCTCAACACTGGAAGACATTTAAAATGTCCAAAATAAATTGACTGAAAATGATAAATAAAAAAGAAACAAAGACACACAAACGAAACCATAAATGAAAATGGATTGTAAACAAAGTCTCCCTGTAAAATTATTAATCATCAGAATGGAAATGATCAACTCGTTTTAATTCGTCAAGCGATTAATTGCGACAGACTTGGTGGAGGTTCGGTTTTTAGGAGGACAACGATCCTAATCACAGAGTCGGACCTAAAGCTAACTCATGTTCTCAAGTGGCACAGTCAAAGTCCGGGTATAAATCCAACTGAGCATGTGTGGTATAGGCCTTGAAAACTAAGGCTCCAGGATGCTCTTTATCTGATCTGACTTCACTTGAACTCTTTGAAAAAAGATGAGTCTGTAGATCCTCAAAGATGATCATTCTGCTGACGTTTGTGCTCATGTAGCAAAATGTGAAAAGATTTAAGAGGTTTTAATACTTTTACAAGGTGCTATGGAGTCTAAATGCAATATAATTGATCATCTTTGTCTTTTATTGCCTTTCTTTTTGTCTGAGCAGATAGTCATCCATTCGCTGCAGTGTACCCACTACGTCATTCTGTGGCAGCTGGCTAAGTTGTCCGAGGGCAGTTCAAGAAAGGTGAGGACTTTCAGTCTTTGTTTTGAAGTTAAATTGAGGAGAAAAACGTGCGTGGAAGTTGAAGATCTTAAATAAAATGGGGTTTATTTTGCTGTCAGGACGACATGGTCAACCTGAGGAAGCAGATGAGGGCTTTCTGCATGATGTGCCAGCGCTACCTCACCAACGTCAACACGGCCGTCAAAGAGCAGGTGGGAGGAAAACCTGCGACATAAACTCCGCTCGATTTGTAGATGTTCTTGCGCGTAACATTTTCTCATCCTGCTCCCAACAGGCGTTCACCATCCTGTGTGACCTTCTGCTCATCTTCAGCCATCAGATGGTCTCGGGAGGCCGGGAACACCTGGAGCCTTTGGTTTATTCGCCAGAGGACTCCTTACAGTCGGAGCTGCTGTCTTTCATCCTGAACCACGTCTTCATCGACCAGGACGACGACACCAACAGCACAGGTACGAATTAAGATCCGAGTTCCTAAGATCACCTGCAGCTGCTGCGGTGGACGCCTCATTTTTGATCTTCTGGTGTTTTTTTCTTCTTCTTATTTTTTTATTTTTAGATGGCCAGCAGGACGACGAGGCGGTAAAGATCGAAGCTCTGCACAAGAGGAGGAACCTCCTGGCTGCCTATTGTAAGCTCATCATCTACTGCGTGGTAGAAATGAGGACTGGAGCGGACATCTTCAAGCAGTACATGAGAGTGAGTTTTACTTTGTCCTTCATCGTAATAGTAATAATAATAATGGGAATCTGCAGGAACAAAAGCTGAATCAGTGGCGTTCTGTTTTCTGTTTCTCAGTATTACAACGATTATGGTGACATCATCAAGGAGACCATGAGTAAGACTCGACAAATCGACAAGATCCAGTGTGCCAAGACGTTGATTCTGAGTCTGCAGCAGGTTGGTGGACACGCTCGGTTCGAAACGTTGATTCCGCTTTTCTAATTTTCAATGTTTGATCTAATGCTCGTACCTTTTCAACGTTTGTTCTGGTTGCAGCTGTTTAACGAAATGCTGTCTGAACTGGGTCACGGGTTCGACCGCTCCTCCTCCGCGTTCTGCGGAATCAAAGAGTTGGCGCGTCGGTTCTCCCTGACCTTCGGCCTCGACCAAGTGAAAACCCGAGACGCCATCGCCATGCTCCACAAGTAAGGCTTCGTTCTGTCCTTGCTGCTTCACTCTGTTGTTGTAGCCTTCTTGATTCTGTATTTAAAAGTTCAACAATTGTCGTCTTCTGCTGCGTTATCTTTTAATACTTTAGTTCAGTGTTTCCCAACATGCTCTGCATGTTTTAGATGTTTCTCTGCTTCAAGCACACATGATTTCAATTGATTGCTGACTAACAGGCTGTTACTGAACTGCAATCATCTGAATCGGGCGTCTTAAATCAGGGAAACGTCTAAAACATGCAGGGCAGCGCGCCTTGAGGACCAGGGTTGGGAAACGCCACACTAGTTCACGATTAGTTAACAATTAATCTACAACTAACAACTTGGTTGTTAATTTTTCAGTAATTAATTGCAATTGCTACATTAGTTGACAATTATTTCAATAATTCCTCATTATAACTGCGAGAAACATTACTTTTAATGGAGATGTCTGTGACGGATTGAATAAATAAAAAACGAACAAACGTCCAGATCATCATGGAAATGTCCACGCATTTTCACTATTATAGGTTTTTTATGGGACAAATTTTCTTGGTGTTTCAGTCAATTCTAAAGCATCTTTTTTTTTTTTACTATAAAACAATTTTAGTTTTGCGCATAGTGTTTTGCAAAACCAATGTTTTGTTGAACCACATTAGACTATTATAGATGTGAAACAGAAAAACGGTAAATGGTGAACTCTATGAACTCTAGCTATTGATTTGTTTTTGTGTTTTTGTGTTTTTTTTTCAGTCACACCATAAATACGTACCTTTTATGTAAAAATAAAGGTTTAAATTGAATTCAGAAAAATACAATGGAATTTGGAAAATAATGAAAGAAATTTCATTGCATCCATCAGTTTGTCTCACCTTCCATCTGTCTCTCTGGTTTTTAGATATTCAACATTTGAATCTGTAGAAATATCTATTATGGATTCATAGTTAACTTGGAAAGGGGAAAAAAAAGAAAATCTGAGCCTCAAACAGTTTGACATTTTGACTTGAAACACATATTAATCTCGTATCGTGCGATGGTGTGTGGTTTGGTTAGCGGTGTGCTCGGAATCAGAAAAGGGTTTCCTGCACCTTGTCTTTTGCTGTGGCTTATTAAGCTCCTCAGTGTAACATCCAGACCAACACTCAAAGGGAATCCCAGCGAGTAGTAGAATGCAGTGCAGTACATAACAAAATTCATTTTACAATGTAATGGGACAGCTGAGCCCTATAAAGTGGAATCACGGTAATCCAAACCAAAGTGATAAATGCCCAGACCTCTTCAATAAATATAAAATTACAGGGAGTTGGAGTTTGTAAACTAAGAGTATAAAAAGGAGATTATTCTTTTGCAGGAATGCTCGGCTTAAAATGCTTTGGTTTTAAGCGGCTTGTAAACGTGTCTAAAATATGAGCGGTTCTGAGCACCGCTAGCTGGGAATCCATGTCTGGTTTATTAAGCTCCCTATAAAGTGCTGGAGACGTTTGTCGTGTAAACCGAGGCCGACTTTTCAAAAACAGTCTGGTCTTTATAGAGAAGGATGAACTGTGTGTTTTATTTATTCCAACAGAATTTATCGTAGCAGGTTCGCATTAAAAGAACCAGACCTTTTTATTTTGTAATAAATTGTTCTATGGATTATTCTTACAATTAGTTCATGAATCAGAACAATTGTTTTGGCTCATTCTGCAGCTTTATTTTATTTGAGACTTCTTTTTTTTTTTTTTTTTTTTTTTTTTTTTTAAAAATTTTTAGAAATGCATTAAAATAAGCAAATAATTCAAATACTTTTTTGAATAAAAATAAAAAATTTGTCTACAATGCAATAGCATTTATTTCTTATATACACAAAGGATGCATCTGCAGCTAAAGAAATTTAGTCAACTAACGTTTTTTGATTAAAAATTAAACAGCAAAAGGTGCCTAAAGAGAATTTTATTTTTTTAAAAGCGAAAACTTTTATTTTTTAAAAAACTAAAACTATGCCATTTAAGGAAGTCTGGGTAGATCATATTTACAGAAAGTTATTTTTAAATTTTTTTTTTTTTTTTGCACAGTTTCAGCGTAATCACTGTTGTGGGTGATGTTCCTTCAGCAAATGGCCATTTTTAGAGTCTGTGTACTCCAGTTAATGATTAATCAATTACTAAATTAGTTGGCAATTATTTCAACAATCGATTAATCACGATTAATTGTTTCAGCCCAACTTAATTACTTCTCTGAGGGTGATTGTTCTTTCGGCAAATTGGCCATTTTTCGTCTGTTTACGCCAGTTAATCATCAATTGACTACTGAATTAGTTGACCAGCATTTCAGTAGTCGAGTAATCACTTTTAATTTGAGTTATTTCTATGTAATTTCTAGATGTTTATGAAATGTTAGCCGTGAGTATCTTCACTAAAGTGAAAAGCAGTGTCCTTCGTGATACTGCTTTTTGTTTTTGTTTTTATGACATATTTCTTCCTCACAGTGTCGTATTTTTCTCTCTGCCTGCATTTGTTTTTCCAGGGACGGTATAGAGTTTGCGTTCAAGGAGCCCAGTCCTCAGGGAGAGGGAGGCCCTCCCCTCAACTTGGCCTTCTTGGACATCCTCAGCGAGTTCTCCTCCAAGCTGATGAGACAAGACAAGAGGACTGTGTAAGAGCTCTCTGCTTGTTTTCCCGCTGAACGTCTGTGTGCTGCTGCTGCGTTCCAGATCTGGAGCTCCAGATACGGAGCGCAGCAGGTGTCTTTGACAAACGGAGCAACTGGCGTTCTGCTGCCCCAGTTGGTGGAATCTGCACCTGGTCTTGTGTGTCAAGTTGGTCGCTCTCGACGCGTCTGACATGCCCTTCCTGTTTCTTTTTTTTTTTTTTTTTTTTTTTTCCCTGGTTACCCCCATTTACCTGGAGGCCTTCATGACGTTCCAGATGGCTCTGCAACGAGAGGACTGCTGGCTTCCGCTGATCTCCTACAGGAACTCGCTGCAGGCGGGCGGCGACGACGACACCATGTCGGTGATGAGCGGCTACTCCAGCCGGGGTTCCTCGGTCCGCTCCAAGAAGGTGAAGCCTCCGGCGGCGACGGCCGGAACGTCGGCGGCAAAGAGGAAGCTGCCGGAAGGTTTGAGAACGCCACCTTTTATCGATTAGCGTTCGCTGACCTCTAAATGTTGATTGGGGAATTGAGCATGTGGTGGTTTTCTCGTTCCAGAGGAGAGCAGCAGCGGCGACGTCTGGCAGCAGAGCATTCAGACCCCCGTCATGTTGCCTTCCCCTCATCTCACCTCCACTGCCATGCGGGACCCCAAGAGGGGGCGGGACGACAGCTACATGGGGGTCTACGCGCTCCCCCACGAGCAGCAGCCGCCGCCCCACCCTCTCCCACACCAACAGCACCATCCGCAGACGCCTCAGCACCACCAGACTCCCATGGATTACAAGTACACATGCCTCACTTCCTCCACCTCCTGCTGTTGGTTTGCTTTCAGTTTCACGCGTCGCCCTGCGATCGCTGACCACATGGGAGGAGTCACTCCGAGTTTGGAAAATATAAACCGTTATACAAAGCATCTATGAGGGTGGAAAAGTATGGATGTGATGCGTTTCCTGGTCTGGATAGGGATGGGGGAAAAGGAAAATTCTTCTTTGTCTCCTTTCTCTCTTTCTCTCCCTGTCTCCTTTTTTCTTGTCTCCTTTCCTTCTTTCTGCTCTTTCTTCTTTCCTTCCTTCGTTGTAGCTTTCTTTCTTCCTTGTCTTTTCCTTCCTAGTCTCCTTCTTCCTTTCTTTCTTTCTCTTTTGTCTTAGTCCTTTCTTGTTCCTTTACTTGTTTCCACTTTTCCTCCTCTCTTCCTTGTATCCTCCTTTCCATCCTTGCTTTGTTTTTGCCTTCCTTCCTGCCATCCACTTCTTTTACCTCCTGGCCATTTTCAGGCTCCATGTTTAAAACCTGCTCACTGTGGAAAAGTCTCATGAATTTGACAATTGCTAATCTGAATCTAGGAAAGATCGAAAAAAGTCAAATAAAAACAGACCCTCGACTATAGTGGGACAGAACTCGACGTAGGATCAGACTTTCTCAGACACTTTTAACAAATCTATAATCCTGAGTCACTTGGGTGCTTTTCATCGAATCAGAGGAAACTAAAAATCCCCCTGGGTGTGGGAAAATGAATAAAGCTGTCATAGATAATGCAATCTTTCTAAATAAAGTGAAGAAAATTAGTCCACGTAAATCTATTATTAGATCCCTGATCCACGCCTTCTTTCAGCCGACTTTGGGTATTTAGTTATTTTACTCGTGTAGTTCTGTTCCCTCTAAAATCACAGTTAAAGGTTATTCCTGCAGGCACACTGTCAGAAGTTTCCATGGCGTGACGCTGTCTAAACGGTTGATAACGGTCTGTAGTATAAAAGGCTCACGCAGAGGTCGGGGTGGGTGGGGGAGGTACGGGGGTGAGTAGTCTGATCTGTGCTGTCGTTTCCAGTTCAAATAAAAGACTCGGTCCCAAACGTTCATCCTCAAACATCACCTTTCAGCAGCGGTTTGTTTGTGCTCACCAAAAAAATAAATAAAAAAATTCACCATATCCACAGTGCAGAAACCCAACCCCTTCAGTACTGCAAGTTTTCCTTATTAATTCACCCCAGGCTTGCGTCCAGGGCAGCGATTCAGTTCGGTGGTTCGCTCGCTGGCCGAGCGGATGGAGCCAGGGTGCATTAGGACGCCGCTCAGAGTCATTCCCCGTCCGCGCGCCTTTTAATTCGGAGGCCAAACCCGGTCGCAAAAAAAAATAAAAAATGTTTGCACTCCGCTGCCTGCCAAGCGGCCGGTCCCCGCTCTGCTTATTTATTCGTCTCAAACGTCTCGCGGGCGCCCGGCCAGCGGGAAATTGAAGCCGCGTCTGACACATATACTGCCATCTCCAGTTAAAACGCTGGAGGTAGGAGGAACTCATCCGCCCTTGTGCCTCCAGTTCCCAGGTGACGTGGATGCTGGCCCAGAGGCAGCAGGAAGAGGCGCGCCAGCAGCAAGAGAGAGCCATGAACTACGCAAAGCTCAGGACCAATCTGCAGCACGCCATGTAAGACCCCCGAAGGCCAACTGCCAGGCGGAAAGGCACAGATCGCCGCTGTGGTTTGCTAACCATATGACTTTTTTTTTTGTTCTTTTTTGTCCAGCAGTCGGCGCGGCACCGGGCTCATGGAGGAGGACGAAGAGCCCATCGTAGAGGACGTGATGATGTCATCGGAGGGGCGGATGGACGACCTCAACGAAGGCATGGACTTTGACACCATGGACATCGATCTGGTAAGACACAAGGAAAGATTAGAAATAAACTGAACTTGAGAAATTTATTTTCACTTTTTTTTTCACGTTGCTGCTTGCTAAGTAGCATTTTTATTTTTCATTCCCTTCAGCAAGTAACCCAAATCTGTATTAGACTGTTATTCAAAGAAATTCCATGAGAAAATATCTGACTTTTAGCCTGATAGGTGATCCATGAATGCACCACACTAACTAGAAGAGCTTCCTGAAGGAAGAAGACTGAAAGACTGAAGACCGTTTTCAGTATTGGTGAGATAAACAAGAGGAGACAAACTTTAAAAAGTTTAAATGGGGTTTCTGTTCAGAATTGCCACCAGTTTCCCCCGTTGTGCAAGAGAACAAGACTTTCAGCAGATAACAGGAAGGTTAAAGGCGAGTACAGCAAAGCTGTGCTGTCTTTGGACCAGGACTGGAGGATATGGCTTAAAAGTCAGATTTTTAATTTTTATTCATACTAGATGTGATTTAGATGTTTTTTTTGTTTCTTTTGTAAAAAAAAAAAAAATTACAAATGAGAGAACATAGCTTCAAAAAGGAGCCTATATTTCAACTGTCCCTCCTGTGAGTTAGAGAAGAGTATTAAAGCCAGACTACAATATTTTTTTTCTAATTGTGAGAAAAAGTTGTTGTCAAGAGAAAAAGAAAGTTCATTTGATTAAACCTTTTGGCACTTAATTCTTCTAACATTACAACTTTATTCTCATGTTACTATGGCTGTAACATTATGACTTTATTTTTGTTAAAAAAAAAAAAAAAGAAAAAGAAGAAAAATCTTAGCCCAATTTGTATCTTGTCACAGACGTGATCTGCTTTCAAAGTCCATATAATTAGAAGCTCTGAAAATCGTTTGTCAAACAAGATGGCCGCCCTGGGTGTTCTGACATAACTCTGAACTGCGGAAACCCAAGGAGTTTGTGTTGCTGGGTTACCCCCCCCACTCCCCCCCACATTTTCCTAAAATTAAATCTCCATAAACCAGAAATTAATCACTAAAATCGATTTATCGCTCGGCTCTAATTTGAGGTGTCTAGTCTGCAAAATGTTTGGCAGGAAGGCTTTAGAAAACATTTTTATATCCTCCTGCACTATATTTCTTAAGGACAAATGAGGTGAAAGCAGCACAGAGCTCAAAAGTGAGCTATAAAAGTCTGACTACTGCAGCTCCAATCATAAACGTTGAGGAAAACACCTCAACGTTGCTCCGTCGGAGCCGGTACCTGAGTGGACCGACGCCAAACTCACCTGAACACAGATGTAGTTCATCTATGAAAAGAAGCTCAAATTCTTAAAAGCAAGAGCTTTTAATTAATCATCCACTTTTTCTTGGTTGGTCTATTGTACAACTTTAAAAGTAAAAAAAAAAATAAAAAAAAGCATCAAATATTTCGGAATATTTCTGGAGATTAAGCCATTTAGCACCAAGCTGCTGTCAGATTTTTCAATTTATTTATTTTTTTTCTCTTTGATGATATTGAACTTCAAACCTCAG